TCAAACATGCAGGATTAGTAGTATCTGCTAAAAAGATAAATCTTTTCCAAACAAAAATAAGATATTTAGGCCATCATATTCATTATGGTACAATTATACCAATCGAAAGATCTATTCAATTTGCTGATAAATTTCCTGATATTATTTTAGACAAAACCGAATTACAAAGATTTTTAGGATGTTTAAATTATATAGTAGATTTTTATGAAAATTTGGCTATAGATGCTAAACCATTATATGAACGACTTAAAAAGAATCCTCCTAAATGGACAGAGGAACATACTCAAGCTATGAAGAAAATAAAAATTAAAGCTAAAGAATTACCTTGTTTAAATCTAGCTAATCCTAATGCTTTCAAAATAATAGAATGTGATGCTTCTGAATTAGGATTAGGAGGTATTTTAAAACAACGAATAAACTCTAATGAACAATTAGTCCGCTATAATTAGAAAGCCTGGAATTCTACTCAACAAAATTATTCTACAGTGAAAAAAAAAATACTTTCCACAGTTCATTGTGTTACTAAATTTCAAAGTGATATACTTAATACACATTTTCTTATTAGAACAGATTACAAAGCCGCCACTGATATTCTTACTAAGGATGTGCAAAACCTTGTCTCTAAGCAAATCTTTGCTCGATGGCAGACGATATTATCATCCTTTGATTTTTTTATCGAACATTTAAAAGGTACTACTAACCATCTTCCTGATTTTCTTACTCGTGAATTTTTGCAGGGAAGCAACACTGATCATTTTGATCCACCAGCTTTATCTTTTCCACTAACTTTGTTTTATGCAAATATGAATAAAAATAATAATACTTCCACTCCTGAGCAAAGGGGAAAAGCCCCTACGGAAACCTCACTGGATATCATTCCAGTAAATATTACCCAGTCACCAATAAGAATAGAACCTGCTTTATCACCCAGTAATAGTCCTATTTCCTATTCCCCAAATATCAATTATCCAGCTTATTCAAGCCAACCTTCAGCTTCTCCTCCAGCTCCAGTTTTCCAAACCTCTACACCAAAGAAACCAACTTTACCCAGCAAAACTCCATATCTTGAAACCTATTTTGTTGCTGATGCAATCATAGAATCCAGACATGTGAATGACAACCCAAATAGTATTGCTAACTATTACTTATGCAATAATCTTTGTCCATCTGTAGGTACCAAAACAAGAGAATGGTACGAAATGATTCTGCTAGAAACATAGTCTATTTCCTTGGTACATTATAATCAAAAGAATTCGAAAATAGTAGCATATTCAAAATTATAAATAAGGAAAGTATTATCCTTTGAAGATTGGGGATCAGACCCTTCCAAAGCCAAGAGAATATATTCCCCAGATTTCTCAAATAAATACTACAAACATGCTGATTACATAGATGCTTGGCATAAGATACTGACACTTCAAAACCCATATAATTCTCACACTTGGTTCTTACAGTTTAAAATGCCTATAAACACTCCATTTCCAAATTGGTTTCGTAACTGGTTTGCAACATGGGGGTCTTTAACCCAATTTTCAAGTTTACTTCAGTTTGTAACAAGTTTGCTTCAGTTTGCTTCAAGTTTGTAACAGTTTACAGTTGTTATGATAATACATGTTGTATGTAGCATAAAGATATATCAAACTACTTATAATACATGGATTACTATTGTTATTACTCCTATATCTCTCATTATTATGGTATATATATATATATATGAAATTCAAAACTCTAGAAATAGATTATTATAAATTTCCTTTGGGGGTTCATCGAGGAAGACTCAGATCCCTCACCCACCAAACCCAATCAAGATCAACGATCGTTATAACCAGATTTTGAAACCTTGCTATACGGTTTTAAGAGATTAATAATATTTTTTAAATTTACTTGGATTCATTGGTTAGGTAGAATAAAGATGATTTAAGCATATTAGGTAATAAAACTCCTGGACAAGTGCTCGGCCCCCGGCCAAGTGGACAACCATCATTGATCACCCCATCATGGTTTGCCCAGGGTCTACTTTCTATATTGGATGTAGTTTGTATAAGGTTGAGGCTCTAAACAATCAAAGTAAAATGCACCTTCAAATAATGCTGAGATATGTTGTTTCAATATAGAAAATCTTTATGATGGTATGAAATTTTATTTTTATCTCTAATTATAAAATTTTAAAAGTAAAAAAAATGTAGATTGAGCACACTTGAAAATCCTAAAAATTGACGTTTTGGTTAATACATTACAATATGCATTGTTTTTAAGCTTGAAATCTATTTTTTCTCATGTCCATGCATCTTGAGGGCGATATTAAGATCAAATTGAGGGATTTTCAACAGTGAAACAACCCCTTCTAATGAATTTTTCAAATGTGTCTTAATTTGATTGTTTAGGACCTCACCCTTATATAACTCTAGATTTGGACCTTCGAATCCCCACGTCCATGCATGGTGGCCCTTGGCCCTTCCCGTGCACAATAAGATGGTAACTATTTTTAAGTTGGACATTATTTTATTGTTATCATGATGTTATAATTGACATTTTCAAAGTAAAATGAACAACTTATTACCGTTATGGTGACATAATGGATATAAAAAATACATTTTGAATATGTAAAATAAAATAAAGGAAAATAGTTTATATGATATGTTAATCTAGTCCTGTAGAAGCAAGGGCACATAAAAAATCCACCAAAACAAATGGTTATTATACTACAAAACCCTCCAATTTATTGAGATTTATGAATATAAAAAAAATAGTTTTCAATTCTTGAAAATAGTACATTATTTGGACCATCTATTCTCAAGATTTTTAAGTATTTATAGATTTACTCGATCTACACCATTTTTGTAATTTTAAATTTTACAATTAAAAACAAAAATATTTTTTTAGGCCATTACAGAGTTTTCTTTCTTAGCACAATTTAGGAGTGCACATTGCTTGGATTGTTTAAGGTTTATGCCTTATACAAACCATGCACTACAATATAAGGGGAACCTTTTGTCGTTTGTGAGGGTTGCTATTCCCATCCCCATGTTTTTTTATAAGTTCTCCCTTAAGAGCCAAGATACCCAATATGGGGTCAGCGAAATAGGAGTGCTCGCCACATAATACTGCTGTTATAATATGAACCAATGTTATTGGTGTCAAGCTAACTGCCAAATCAGTGAATGACCTAGTCTAGCCAAAACTGGCCTAATTAATAGTCAAATAAATTAGATTAAAACTTTTTTAAGAATTAAATAATAATTTATAACTGATTAACTTTGAATTTTGAATGAATTAGCCTATTAGTATTTCGTGAGCCCGATCTCATAATCTTTGTCCTTGTTATTGTCTGAGGATGATATGACAACAACGACAACAATAATAATAATATTTATTATTATTATTATGGGTGAGTCCGGATGGAACCCATCAGGTTCAAGGTCCTAGGTCCTATAAAATTATTCCCCCCCCCCCCAAAAAAAAAACAACTAGACACAGACGAAAGGAGCATAGTGAGGCCTCGTAAGCTTGGAAATTAACCACATGAGGAACACCATATCATAATTTATATAGCAAGGGCCAGCTTTTTGCTGCTTTTTAATGGGGGTGGTTGGGGGCCTAGCAAAGAGTTGAACTTGAGAGAGAGCCTTGTCTTCTTTAAGTGGTTGGTATTCCAAAGAGACTCCTCCACTCGAACCCACAACCCTATCTACTAAGGAAAAGCCGCAACCTTTTTGTTATTTTTATCCAACACAAGCAACACCTCATTTCTTCCAATTCATTTATAGTTTTTCAGTTCTTGTATGAACCCATGAGAGCCAGCCCAATCTAGCATCAAATATTCAATCTCAGCCTGAAGACTTCTCATTTTTCCGGCATCATTTTTGCTAAGAAAAAGGTTAGTTGGTTTTTTTTTTTTCCCCCTCATTTGTTTGCTCCCATCGTCTAGGTAATATTTATTTTGGGTTGTATATTGCAATGTCGTTTACATATAATATATGAAAGGTGCAATCAATCATAGCCATCAGATGTAAAATTACACGATTGGAGGTGTGACATTCTTTGAGCACAAATTATGAGAATTCTTTTTCAGACTTCACGTGCAACTAATGGCACACCCTAGCCATCGAATTTTATATTTAATGGATAAAAGTGATCAGAGCAACTTCTACCTTAGGCAAATGCAATTATTTAATGTTCTCCCCATTTATCTTCTTTAATTTTTCATAAAAATATAGTTGTTTATATTATATAACATCAAATATAGGCGTTTAAAGGTGCATTGGATTTTTAGCACATTAATTTTGAGTTGTGTACAATACTATTCACTTTCGATACAGGAATATTATTAACACTCTTAACCTTTAGATGTGAAATATGTCGTTTGTATACACAGAGTAAGAGAAATGCATTCTTAACTTCATACGCTATCACCAACACAATCCAATTGTGTCTGATTTCACATATGATGGCCAGTCTACAGATGATTGTGCCCTCTCATAGAAAAGCAAATACTTGTGTTTTGATGTGAAGTTCATTTAAAATGAATTTCACAAAGAGAAATGCATTCTAAAACATGTGAATTTCATTAAAATGAGGGAGAGACTTCTTGGAGATAATGCAATTATCCTGTGAATATTTACTATGAAATACCTATAAATATATTGTCTATGAAATATATTACTGTCATAATATATTTCTGGTGTAATACATTACCTGCAAATAGATTGTTACTGTTTGGATAGTATCTAAATACAACCTGAGAAATACATTGCTACTCGCCCCTTGATATACCCATCAAAACCCCAAATTCTTTAAAAAAATGAATGATCTCTGTAAAATCTTCTATACAAATGAAATGGGTTTTCTACGAAAACAATGATCTCGACAAATGGTCTCTCTGAATTGATTACAAGTATAAACCCCAATAACAAAATTTCCCTCTTTCCCTTAACTTTCTCTCTCTAACCTCTCCCTCTCTCTATCTCTTTAATGAAAACTAAATTGGCTGTAAAGCAAGGAGACTGCATTGGTTATGACATTTTGTGCATATTTATACTGTGAGATATGGGAGAATAGTTTTCATTGTAGAGAGGGAGAATGGTTTTCATTGTAGAGATAAGAGAAAAAACTTTAGAGAGATATAGTAATAAGGGATTATCAGGAAGAGAGAAGGTGATGGGCTTGAGAGAGAAAAGTGGAAGTGCCCATGAGAGAGAGGAGGAGGGATATAAAGGATTTATTTATTTTTGGTAAGAGATGGATGTAGTTTGATTATCCGTTAAACACATAATAGATTTCACAACTATTTTACGTGTAATAGATTTAACGTATTTTGAAGAAATATTGTATAATTTATTTCATTTTTTTCTTAAAAATGTACACAAACATAAATCTGATATTTATTTATAATATGTTTATGTGTAATAGGTTTCATAATTTATTTCAATTTTTTTAAAAAATGCACCCAAACATGATAAATCTGATATTTATTCGTAACATGTTTATCTGTAATAGGTTTTCAGATACCCAAAGGTCCTGTTTGTCCCCCGTCTCTAAAAATGGTAGAGGAGAATCTCCCTCCTTTTCGATGCAAAAATCTCAAATCACTATATTACCACAAGACCCTCAACTAATAGAAAATGACGCATGAAAGAACCTCAAATCTGAAGTAAACAATGATTCTCTTCCTTTAAATCTAGCGAAGGGTATTATCGTCATTTTAGGCCGGCAAAAAATTGCCTTTTCCGTCCTTTTTCCCCCTCTCTCTCTCTCCTATTTTTAAACTTTTCCCATTTTTAAAAAGTCATTTTCTTCCTCTTTCCCTCTTTTTCAAACTTATTTGATTGTTCTCTCTCTAAAGGTTCTTGTTATCTTTTGTACTCTCTCTCTCTCTCTGAAAGTTGCTTGTGATCTCAAGCTCTCTCTAAGAATTTGCCAGTTATCTCAGGTACTCTCGCTCTAATTAGTTTGTTAATCTCTGGTACTCTCTCTAAGAATTTGCCAGTTATCTCAGGTACTCTCTCTCTAATTAGTTTGTTAATCTCTGGTACTCTCTCTAATTAGCCTGTTAACTCTGGTGCGCTGTCTCTAAGAAATGTTCACATTTGTTTTGATGGAACGCTCTCTTTAATAATCACCGTGTTCGTTTTTGCAAACTCTCTCTCTCTCTCTCTCTCTCGTTCTTTAAACTTTCATTTTCTTCCTCTTTCTCTCTCTGAAACTTTTGTTTGTTTATTCTCTCTTCTAAATTTGCCGGTAGCATTTTAGGATTCGGCCGAGCAACACGGCCTCGGCCCATGGGCGAAGTGAGTTTTGGTCAAGTTAGTCGTACACAATATTTTTAAGCTTTAAAAGAGTTTTAACCGAGTTAATTATACAGAATATTTTTAAGCTTTAAATATAATATTATCGCAAATTTGTTTCAGATATGTTAGAATGATCTATTGATTAGCGCTCATGAGTAAACTTCACCTGTCTTCTTATGAAGAGGTATTTTTAAGGCAAAGTGCGATAACCAGACAGACAGCTTATTTTATTGATAATATATATATATTCTTCATTTTTTCAAAAAGAAGAAGAGATGGATTGGGACATTTGCCCGAATAATCACCTCGAAAAGTGTTGAAAAATTAAAAAAGATATAAAAACTATTAAAATATTAAAAACATATAAAGAATGATTAAAACAAAACATATTCAAATGATGATGAAAATTAATGAAAAAAATAGATTTTAAAGAATCAATTTGTGTTTAAGGATATTTTTAAAATTTTGTAAAAAAAATAGAAAAATGTAAAAGTGAGTATTAATAATCAAAACAATTTTTAATTTTTATCATAATATAAAAAATATTAAAAATCAATTTTTTTATTTTTGAGAGTATATATATATATATATATATATATTAGATTTTTTTTTAAAATACCGATCGATCATAAAAAACCGCTGGAACCGGCCCTTCTAAGAGGCGGTTAGCGGTTAGATCGTCCGGCTTTTCCAACGGTATTACCTTGGCTGAATCGATGTTGTTAACCCTGTTGCTTTGTTCTCTCTCAAGAATTGTTCTCGGGTACTCTCTCTCTCATAAATTCACCGTTATTTCTCGTACTATTTCTCTCTCAAATTAGTCTCTCTATAATTGTAACATTTAGAAGTTACTTCTTCCCTTTTCTTGCAGAAAAATGGCGCAAATCCTTGCACCTTCGATGCAATGCCAAATGGGATCTGCAAAAATTTCCATTAAAGCAGGGCCTGTGACTGCAAAAATGTGGAATTCCCTTGTCTTAAACCATAGACTTAGCGGAAGAAACAGCTTCAAAAGTGCCAGCAAATTTAGAGCGTTCTCTGTGAAAGCTGCCAGTGATAATGGCGTTGTTAATAGATTAGAAGACCTCCTGAAACTGGATCTCACTCCCATCACCGATAAGATCATTGCAGAGTATATATGGTATTTGATCGTCCCCCACTCTCTTTCTGAACCTCTTTGTTTCTCTCTCTAGTTTTCTTCATTTATGGTTTTTTTCTTAATGCTCTTTAGTACGCTTTTCCTTCTGCAATATAATTTTCCCTCCATTTTTATTTGTCTGAGCCCGGGTTCGAACCGTATGAGTAGCGTGATAACCAACTACACCACCCAGCTTCGTTTAATGCTTTACTTTCTCTCTCTTGATGCCGTTTAGTCCCGTTACTCTCTCTCTACTTCTCTCTACTGCTCTCGGTCCATTTTCTCCCTTTACTCTCTCTACTGCAGAGATGACTCTCACTCTCCATTGAAAAACAGTAGAAATTACGAAAAATAACTCTCTCCCCATTAAAACACAGTAGAAATTACGAAGAATAACTCTCTCTCTCTCTCCCCCTCTCCACTAAAAAACGTTAGAAATTACTACTACGAAGTCTCTCTCTCTATGCCCATGAAAAATGACCTTAGATATTGTCTGGTAATAAATGTAAATGGAGAAAGTTTTTTGGTAAATTCTTTGTGGAAAAGGGTAACTAACCTATACACCCCATGAGTTTATTTAATTTTCAATTACTTATTTAATTGTTTTAAATTTGGTCCTTTTAACTCAGGATTGGAGGGTCAGGAACCGATCTTCGTAGCAAGTCAAGGGTAAGTAATTGTCATTTTTACCCATTTTCACTTTTCTTTCTTAAATATCCTTAATATTTGACTCTCTTAGTGGAAAATTTTGCCCATCTCCATTTTTCTTACTGAATGCCTGCTATTTTATTTTTTATTTTTTTTGAGATTGCCTATTTATTTATCACTGGATATACTTATTAATTGATGTCTATGCAGTGAATCTATTAATTTTTTCATGAAAATTCTTTTTTTTTTTTCTAGACCATATCTCGGCCTGTTGAAAGTGCATTAGGGCTTCCGAAGTGGAACTACGATGGATCGAGCACTGGTCAAGCTCCTGGTGAAGACAGTGAAGTGATTTTATAGTAGGACTTCGTTTTCTTTTTTTTCTTTTTTTCTTTCTTTGATTGAATTTCTGCCATTTATCCATGTAATCTGTTAGTCTGATAGCTAACTACCAAGGTAAACTTTTAATTGGTTGAGATAAAATGGGGGGTTTCGGTGTGTCAGTTCCGATTCAAAGTTCAAATTTCATATTTGTAGATAGATTTTGAACTCAAATTTACTCGTAGATGATCTCGACCTCATCAGCACTATGGAAAAAAAATGATATTGAGCTCTTAAAATAGGTCCACTTAAAGGATGTTTTTGGACCAATCATCACTATTCATTTAGTTCTTCACAATTCATCAGATCTACACTATTTTTTGAGCTGCAAAAATATGGATCTAAAGTGAAAATGTGTGACTTAGAACGTGTATTCGAATAGAATTTCATTTGAACTTTTCTGGTCATAAAATCACTTTTTGACATGTTATTTCTTTTCACTTGTTGACAGCCCACAGGCTATTTTCAAGGACCCATTTCGTGGAGGCAATAATATTCTGGTGAGTAAAAAAGGCATGCTATCCAATCTCTAGAATAATTTGCAAGTATTTTTAGAAAATCCATGACTCACACTTTCTCCTCCCCTTTCTAAATTCAGTAAGAACATAGGAACAACATATTTCGGAAATAAATTGAATTTCAATTTCATGAAATTGAGGACCTAATTTCAAATATTTCAACCCTCTTTCTTGAGCTCGAAATGAGGGATGCTTCGGTCTCTATATTACATTTGGATCAATTTTGGCTTCTAGGGATGAATCTGAAAGATATGGTCATAATAGAAACTTGGATAGCAATTCGGTAATCTTAGAAATTTTTGGACATGAGATGATTGCCGTATATAGTGCTGGTGAGCTCGACTTGGATTTGCACGAGTTACTCTGGCTCAGCAGGCTGCTGGAACCAAACACATAGAAACCGGCCCAGTATGGTTGATTCCCTTCGCGTCATTAATTTTTTCGAATTGGCCGAATATCTGTTGGCCGACTCTATCAAACCTGACTGGGGCTTGGGGCACTAGTGAGTCCCAGCCAGAGTCCTTGTTTTGTCTTTTGACACCGGTTCTGAGAATTCCTAATCGGTGGATTTTTATAATTTAATCAAAGTCAAATGGCAATCTGGACCATGTAAGTTAAGCTGCATGGTGGTGGAATTTTCATTTTTCTTTTGTGAATAGTTTGCACCTTATCAATTTTTTTTAATTTTATGTTTTTATATTTTTAAAAATTAAAATGCAGGTAATTTGTGATGCTTATACACCAGCTGGAGAACCACTTCCTACGAATAAGAGATACAGAGCTGCTCAAATATTTAGTGAAAAGAAGGTCATAGATGAAGTACCATGGTAAGTGATCCTCTAGTAATGAGTTATTATTATTATTTTTAGTTATTTGGAGCGTAGCTTTTAATAAGCCAATACAACTTTAAATTATTCTGGGAAGCGATGGAAATTGAAGTTCAGAGAAGCTAATGATAGGTTCCTTTGATGGTGGCCAGGTATGGCATTGAGCAGGAGTATACATTGCTTCAACCAAATGTAAAGTGGCCTTTGGGTTGGCCAGTGGGAGGCTACCCTGGACCCCAGGTATTCTATTTTGAGAGAGAGAGAGAGAGAGAGAGAGAGAGAGAGAGAGTAGTTCTTCGCTGACTATACTACGTTTCCTCTAGTCGTATCGTCGTTAGTACTTAACTTACGTGTACTTAATTAATTTAAGTTTGTTAGAACGTAAACTACAACTA